CTACCTTTGGTCTTTGATGATGGTGACCTACGGATGGGATTTTGGTGTGGATGTCCTTTTTGTTGATGTTGCTGCTATTCCTTTCTGTTTGTTGATTTTCCTTCTAACAGTCAGGACCCTCAGCTGCAGGTCTCTTGGAGTTTGCTGGAGGTCCACTCCAGACCTGTTTGCCTGGGTCTCACCAGTGGAGGCTGCAGAATAGCAAATACTGCAGAACAGCAAATGGTGCTGCCTGATCTTCCTATGGAAGCTTCATCTCTGGGGGCACCCGGCTGTATGAGGTATCATTCGGCTCCAACTGGGAGGTGTCTCCCAGTTAGGCTACTCGGGTCAGGGACCCACTAGAGAAGAGAGTCTGTCCATTCTTAGATCTCAAACTCCGTACTGGGAGAACCACCGCTCTCTTCAAAGCTCAGTTGGAAATGCAGAAATCACCCGTCTTCTGTGTCGCTCATGCTGAGAGCTATAGACTGGAGCTGTTCCTATGTGACCATCTTGGAACAAAATGGAGGAACATTCCATGCTCATGAATAGGAAAGATCAATATCATGAAAATGGCCATACTGCCCAAGGTAATTTATAGATTCAGTGCCATCCCCTATCAAGCTACCAATGACTTTCTTCACAGAATTGGAAAAAACTAGTTTAAAATTCATATGGAACCAAAAAAGGGCCCGCATTGCCAAGACAATACTAAGCCAAAAGAACAAAGCTGGAGGCATCACACTACCTGACTTCAAACTATACTACAAGGCTACAGTAATGAAAACAGCATGGTACTGGTACCAAAACAGAGAAATAGACCAATGGAACAGAACAGAGCCCTCAGAAATAATATCACACATCTACAACCATCTGATCTTTGACAAACCTGACAAAAACAAGAAATGGGGAAAGGATTCCCTAGTTAATAAATAGTGCTGGGAAAACTGGCTAGCCATATGTAGAAAGCTGAAACTGGATGCCTTCCTTACACCTTATACAAAAGTTAATTCAAGATGGATTAAAGACTTAAATGTTAGACCTAAAACCATAAAAAGCCTAGAAGAAAACCTAGGCAATACCATTCAGGACATAGGCATGGGCAAGGACTTCATGACTAAAACACCAAAAGCAGTGGCAACAAAAGCCAAAATTGACAAATGGGATCTAGTTAAACTAAAGAGCTTCTGCACAGCAAAAGAAACGACCATCAGAGTGAACAGGCAACCTACAGAATGGGAGAAAATTTTTACAATCTACCCATCTGTCTAAGGGCTAATATCCAGAATCTACAAAGAACTTAAACAAGTTTACAAGAAAAAATCAAACAACCCCATCAAAAAGTAGGCGAAAGATATGAACAGACACTTCTTCAAAGAAGACATTTATGCAGTCAACAGACACATGAAAAAATACTCATCATCACTGGCCATCAGAGAAATACAAATCAAAACCACAGTGAGATACCATCTCACACCAGTTAGAATGGCAATCATTAGAATGTCAGGAAACAACAGGTCCTGGAGAGGATGTGGAGAAATAGGAACACTTTCACACTGTTGGTGGGACTGTAAACTAGTTCAACCATTGTGGAAGACAGTGTGGTGATTCCTCAAGGATCTAGAACTAGAAATACCATTTGACCCAGCCATCCCATTACTGGGGATATACCCAAAGTATTATAAATCATGCTGCTATAAAGACACATGCACACGCATGTTTATTGTGGCACTATTCACAACAGCAAAGACTTGGAACCAACCGGAATGTCCATCAATGACAGACTGGATTAAGAAAATGTGGCACACATGGAATACTATGCAGCCATAAAAAAGGATGAGTTCATGTCCTTTGTAGGGACATGGATGAAGCTGGAAACCATTATTCTGAGCAAACTATCACAAGGACAGAAACCAAACACTGCGTGTTCTCACTCATAGGTGGGAATTGAACAGTGAGAACGCCTGGACTCAGGATGGGGAACTTCACACACTGGGGCCTGTCGTGGGGTGGGGGGAGCGGGGAGGGATGGCATTAGGAGAAATACCGAATGTAAATGATGAGTTAATGGGTGAAACACACCAACATGGCACATGTATACATATGTAGCAAATCTGCACGTTGTGCCCTTGTATGCTAGAACTTAAAGTATAATAATAAAAAAAAATCATTAAAACGAAAACAAGGTTAAGTTATTCTTATTTCAGAATGTGAGCTCACTCACCCACACAGATGCTAGTTCTTGAATTTTGTTTGTACTAACTGAAAAACAACTTATTTGGTTGGTTGACACATTTACCCCACTGGGGCCTGAATCCAGCTCCCTTTTAGGAGGGACAGTTTCAGTATATGCCATGAGGTGTCTGTGATTTAGATCCATGCTCTCTGTAAATAGGGGGCTGCACCTCTGTAGCTGAGTCCTTTCTAAGACTCCTTTAAGAAATTTTAACAGGCTTTCGCAGAGCTGTGCACCCTCCAAAATATACATTGACATGATAAACCACAATGGATTTAAGTGTTTAAAGTCAGAAATACACTTTTAAAAATAAGTACTTCAGTTGGCTGGTGGAGCAGTAATACCTGGATGCTGAATTGAATTTGTTTAAAATAAACCACAGAGTAAACTTTAAAAAAAAATGATTTGTCAATTAAAATATACATTTATAAAGAAAAAATAATAAAACATCTTCCACATCATAGTTTATAGAAAATGTGTCGCCTTATAATTGTATACTTTTGTCAAAAATGGATATTGTATAATGTCAAACATGAAAATGTAGCAGACCACTCAGAACTATTCACTAGAGAAAAAGATAAAAAAAAGAGAGAGAGTCTGACCCAGGAACCACGCTGTTCCTGAGCCCCACAAAGCTTCCACATTCCAAGTCTTCTGGACTGAAAACATGGCGTTTATCTGCTGTGCACCTCAGTTTCCTCATCTGTGAAATGGACATGACAATAAACCTCACAGGTTTGTTGTGAAGCATAAGTGTATTAATATGTATAAAGTACTCAGAAATGAAGTAGTCAATCATTGTTAGTCTCCAGTGTATTGTTTCTGTGTATTTTTGAATCACAGATGTCACAGATTTAAAAAAAATTTTTGAAAGAAAAGATAACCATAATGCGACCTGATTTCTATTTTGCTTCTACCACTTTAATAATGAATGATAAGTGTTAGTGCAAACAGTGGTTGTCAGTCTTACGGAGAATTAAATCTAATTGCCAAAAGAGGCATTATTTAATCATAAAATGAAGTGATTTGAAGGAATTACTAAAGCAAAGCTAGTTCTTGTCTCTTTGTCTCCGACAGACAAAAGCCAGAGAACCTTTCTAGTTTTTCTCTTGAAATGGTGTTCACAAACTTAGAGTAGGATGGTTTTCCCTTAATTTGCACTTTAATTCAGTGGAACTTTATTACACTGAAATTAAGCAAATCCCAGAGAAGCCTGGAAACATAAATGATTGTGAAATGTTATGGATTTTAAATTGGACATTTTGAAAGACAAAGATGAAGGCTAATAGTTTACATTTAGTACTAAACTCTGGCATTCCAATGGAAAAAAGACAGCTAGTTTGAATCAAATAATGGGATTTGTTTTTTAGGTAACAACATAATGAGTTAGTTAAAAGAGCTCACTTGTAATAGATTTATTAAGCCATAAAGTTTCATTTCTTTGAACAACCGATTGTCAAAATCTTCACAGATAACTTCACTTATAAGAAAATTAAATGAAAGAACTATTTCTTTAAAAGTTAGATGTGGATTTTCTCTATTTGGGGAGGGGTTGAAAATGCCACGTCAGTTGATCTGGCTGTGATCCGACCTCTTAATCCTGTTTTAATTATGGGTTCCTTGCTACTTCTGAGTTTATAGTTATATGTGACTGACATTCAGACATTCATAGTAATTTTTTAAATATGTAATTTTACATAAGAGTCCCTTCAGTGTGACCTTAAGATGAGAGTCTCTAGACATAATTATAGAGAGGAAGGAACTACCAACCTAGAATGACTTGATCATTTCCAGGGGTATCTCATTGTCAAAATTTTCAGTTGAACACTGTGGCCGTTTTACATTTCTACAAGCTTGAGAGGAATGCAGAAGGGAGGCCCACAAAGATCCTATGTGGGCAGCACTTGTCCGTTCCTACTGCTGCATATTTGAAAACACTAGGGACCAAATATGATTAACCTCGTACTTCTCCTTCTCCCTGGAGACCTGAACCCTAAATATACCTTTTGCCACCATACTCTGTATTCCTTGAGACCAGTATGCTTGTGACTAGGTGTCATTTGTCAAATATGACATGAATATTTGTTGTACATAATCATTTTTGTTTAAGTTTAAAAATGTAATGCCAGCAAGTTATACTACCCAAAGAAGCAGGCTGAAAGCATGAGTTTTGACAAAGTGAAATTTCATTAGATGATATCCATTATAAATCATTTTTCTCTAACTTTAAAATAAGATCTCATTTCTTCAGTATTCTGCATCTTATTAACAAACTTTACCAATAGTGTTGACTCCATAGTAAATGGTATGTTTTAAATTATATATGCCAAATATTTTCCTGGAATTTTAAGACATTTCTACACTAAGCTCTGTTTCTTCATCCGTAAGGTGAAAATTTTAAGACTCCATTATCTCTAATATCTTCTGATACCCAGGATACCCTAAGTCTAATGTCCAGCCTTGTTTATTATGGAGAATATCTTGCTAAATGTCCAAAGGCTTGTGAGTTGTTTCAGATTGCATCACTCCAACTCGCCAAATGATCCTCTCTATTGACAATTACCAAATATTATTCCCTGAGACCTCTTCCCCTGCTCCATGGATGTGACTGTGGCTCCTTGTGGAGAACGAAGACCAGCCTTTGCCTGCCAGGAGCCAATTATAGCTGTTAGAGGTCCAGTCATCCTGTCCAGCTGATTGCATCTGTGTCTGGTCATCTGAGAGAGTGAAATATTAATCTGCTTTCTTCTCTTCACTCTTTTCATGTGTATTCCCCTAACAGAAAGGAGAACCTGACTGCTGTGCACTCTCCCTGGAGACAAGCGAGCAGCTCACCTTTGAGATCCCCCTGAATGATTCAGGTTCTGCTGGCCTTGGGGTGAGCTTGAAAGGGAACAAATCCAGAGAAACTGGAACAGACTTGGGGATTTTTATCAAATCCATCATTCATGGAGGCGCTGCTTTTAAGGTGGGTAGGAATGACATTTGTACATCCTTTGAGAAGGCACTTGCAGATGTGACTGTTGTACTTAGAGACTGAATGGAAAGTGTCTGAAGACTTGAGGCCACTGAGACTTTCCTGCCAGATACAGAAAATACATGTGTGAACAGATCTGGGGAATAACTGGCTGCTGTTTTTGTCCCTTAACTGGCTATTTTTACTTTTTAGAGTTACCTCTAAAAACCCATCATGATTCACATTCTTTTTTGCATACTTTTTATTACTCCATTAGGATTCCTCTGAATTTGTAAACTGACAGAGTTGAGCCTAAAAGTACACAATCAGAAAAACAAAACTAAAAACAAGTAAACATAAAGGCAGCAAATAAGACAATTGTGCTTGCAAGAATGAAAGCTCAGGGGAGCCTGAGAGTGATTGCAGTATAAATTAAAGGCCATTTATCACGTTTTAAACACTTGAAGAAAACCATGGTGCCAAGAATGCATGTTTCCTTTTGAATACTTAGAGAAGCTTATAGGTTTCCAGAAAAAGAAGGAAGATCATGCTTCAGTCCTTTCACCTTGAGGTGAGCAATGTGTTAATAACTATTAACATAGTGTACTGGTTAGCTAGATGGCCCGTGTTCAAGTCCAACTCAGTCCTTGCTAGCTATATGGAAATGTAGGCAAGGGTCTTGACCAGCTGTCTCCCATTTCCTCACCGGTAGAATGGTGATAATAAATAATACCTACTTCATAGGCTTCTAGGATTAAATAAGTCAGTACACACAATATGATGAAAACAGTAAAGTGATGATAGAGGAAGGATACACGTTTGCACCTCTCACCACCATCATTATTATCTCATACCGTGCAAGGAGACTTCTTGAGTTTGAATTCTGCCTTACCTACTCTCTCCCTGTGAATGGAGGCAAGCTGCTCGGCCTTGACATCCTCAATTTCCTCATTGGTGAAATTTGCAGTGCCTGGCTCCTCATGCCGCTATTAAGACTAAAGGAGACAATGTGTGTCCAGTGTTTAGCACAGTGCCTGTCACTGGCTGCTGATCAATGTTAGCCATCTGAAAATAATCGTGATATGAATAACGTCTGCCCTCTCCCACAGCAAAGCCAAGAAGGCCCCGTTACACTATACATAGAACACCCCTGCACCTAGAATTCTGACTTCGTTGAAGCAACTATCTTCTCACACTTACCCTTCCACTTTTGTTTTAGACTAGATATGGAGATAATGCCTTTTTCACTGTGAAATAAATGCACTTTGGATAGACACCTCTTCGGTTTACTCCTTGCTTTAGTTAGCTTTTGTCACATAATAAATAGTCATAATTTTTCAGTAATATACCTCAATAAGCCTTTATTTTTCTCATAGCTCTGTGCAGGGGATCTGGGGTTTGGGGAGGATTCTGATTCAGGCTGGTGTCTCTTGATCCCACTGAAACTCTGCAGATCTGAGTGTGCTCCACTGCTTTCTCCTGCTCCTTGGATCAGCAGGCTAGCTGGGGCATGTCCCTCCTGTGTCTCAAGGTGTCAGAGGGCCAGTGGCAGTGGGTGAATCCGCGGGCTCCAAACTGGCCCACTGTTACCCCACACACAGGCCACTGGTCAAAGCAAGTCGTATGGCTGAGTTATGGCAAAGATGTGGATACAGAGAAGGGTGAAGAATTGAGTCCCATCACTCAATCTATAAAATTGGCTCCTAGGGGAGGTTCCAAGATGGCAGAATAGGAACAGCTCCAGTCTATAGCTCCCAGCATGAGCAACACAGAAGACGAGTGATTTCTGCATTTCCTACTGGGGCACTGGGTTCATTTCACTAGGGCGTGTCAGACAGTGGGTACAGCCCATGGACTGCAAGCCAAAGCAGGGCAGGATCACCTCACATGGGAAGCACAAGGGGTCGGTGAATTCCCTTTCCTAGCCAAGGGAAGCCGTGACAGATGGTACCTGGAAAATTGGGACACTCCCACCCTAATACTGCACTTTTCCAGCGGTCTTAGTAAACGGCACACCAGGAGATTATATCCTGCACCTGGCTTAGAGGGTCCCACACCCATGGAGCCTTGCTCACTGCTAACACAGCAGTCTGAGATCGAACTGCAAGGTGGCAGCGAGGCTGGGGTAGGGGTGTCCGCCATTGCCAAGGCTTAAGTAGGTAAACAGAGCAGCCGGAAGCTTGAACTGGGTGGAGCCCACCACAGCTCAAGGAGGCCTGCCTGCATCTGTAGACTCCACCTCTGAGGGCAGGGCATAGGTGAACAAAAGACAGCAGAAACTTCTGCAGACTTAAACGTCCCTGTCTGACAGCTTTGAAGAGAGTAATGGTTCTCCTAGCATGGAGTTTGAGATCTGAGGATGGACAGACTGCCTCCTCTAGTGTCACATATGGGACTATGTGAAAAGACGAAATCTGCGTTTGATTGGTGTACCTAAAAGTGACAGGGAGCATGGAATCAAGTTGGAAAACACTCTTCGGGATATTATCCAGGAGAATTTCCCCAACCTAGCAAGGCAGGCCAACATTCAAATTCAGGAAATACAGAGAACACCACAAAGATACCCCTCAAGAACAGCAACTCCAAGAATTGTCAGATTCTACAAGGTTGAAATGAAGGAAAAAATGTTAAGGGCAGCCAGAGAGAAAGGTCGGGTTACCCACAAAGGGAAGCCCATCAGACTAACAGCAGATCTCTCAGCAGAAACTCTACAAGCCAGAAGAGAGTGGGGGCCATATCCAACATTCTTAAAGAAAAGAATTTTCAACCCAGAATTTCATATCCAGCCAAACTAAGCTTCATAAGTGAAGGAGAAATAAAATCCTTTACAGATAAGCAAATGCTGAGAGATTCTGTCACCACCAGGCCTGCCTTACAAGAGCTCCTGAAGAAGCACTAAACATGGAAAGGAACAACCGGTACCAGCCACTGCAAAAAACATGCCAAATTGTAAAAATCATTGATGCTAGGAAGAAACTGTATCAACTAATGGGCAAAATAACCAGCTAACATCATAATGACTGGAACAAATTCACACATAACAATATTAACCTTAAATGTAAATGGGCTAAATTCTCCAGTTAAAAGACACAGACTGACAAATTGAATAAAGAGTAAAAACCAATCAGTGTGCTGTATTCAGGAGACCCGTCTCAAGTGCAGACACACACATAGGCTCAAAATAAAGGGATGCAGGAAGATCTACCAAGCAAATGGAAAACAAAACAAAACAAAACAAAAGCAGGGATTGCAATCCTAGTCTCTGATAAAACAGACTTTAAACCAACAAAGGTCAAAAGAGACAAGGTCGTTACATAATGGTAAAGGAATCAATTCAACAAGAAGAGCTAACTATCCTAAATGTGTATGCATCCAGTACAGGAGCACCTAGATTCATAAAGCAAGTCCTTAGAGACCTACAAAGAGACTTAGACTCCCACACAATAATAATGGGAGATTTTAGCACCCCACTGTCAACATTAGACAGATCAATGAGACAGAAAGTTAACAATGATATCCAGGACTTGAACTCAGCTCTGCACCAAGTGGACGGAATAGACATCTACAGAACTCTCCACCACAAATCAACAGAATATACATTCTTCTCAGCACCGCAACGCCCTTATTCTAAAATTGACCACGTAGTTGGAAGTAAAGCACTCCTCAGCAAATGTACAAGAACAGAAATTATAACAAACTGTCTCTTAGACCACAGTGCAATCAAACTAGAACTCAGGACTAAGAAACTCACTCAGAACCACTCAACTACATGGAAACTGAACAGCCTGCTCCTAACTGACTACTGGGTAGATAACAAAATGAAGGCAGACATAAAGATATTGTTTGAAACCAATGAGAACAAACATACAACATACCAGAATCTCTGGGACACATTTAAAGCAGTGTGTAGAGGGAAATTTATAGTACTAAATGCCCACAAGAGAAAGCAGGAAAGATCTAAAATTGATACCCTAACATCACAATTAAAAGAACTAGAGAAGCAAGAGCAAACACATTCAAAAGCTAGCAGAAGGCAAGAAATAACTAAGATCAGAGCAGAACTAAAGGAGATAGAGACACAAAACACCCTTCAAACAATCAATGAATCCAGGAGCTGGTTTTTTGAAAAGATCAATGAAATTGATAGACCACTAGCAAGGCTAATAAAGGAGAAAAGAAAGAAGAATCAAATAGATGCAATAAAAAATGATAAAGGGGATATCACCACCAATCCTACAGAAATACAAACTACCGTCAGAGAATATTATAAACACCTCTATGCAAATAAACTGGAAAATCTAGAAGAAATGAATAAATTCCTGGACACATACACCCTCCCAAGACTAAACCAGGAAGAAATTGAATCCCTGAATAGACCAATAACAAGCTCTGAAATTGAGGCAATAATCAGTAGCCTACCAACCAAAAAAAAGTCCAGGACCAGACGGATTCATAGCCGAATTCTACCAGAGGTACAAAGAGGAGCTGGTACCATTCCTTCTGAAACTATTCCAATCAATAGAAAAATCAATAGAAATCCTCCCTAACTCATTTTATGAGGCCAACATCATCCTGATACCAAAGCCTGGCAGAGACACAACAAAAAAAAAGACAATTTTAGGCCAGTGTCCCTGATGAACATGAATGCAAAAATCCTCAATAAAATACTGGTAAACAAAATCCAGCAGCACATCAAAAAGCTTATCCAGCATGATTAAGTTGGCCTCATCCCTGGGATGCAAGTCTGGTTCAACATATGCAAATCAGTAAACGTAATCCATCCTAAACAGAACCAAAGACAAAAACCACATGATTATCTCAACTGATGCAGAAAGGGCCTTTGACAAAATTCAAGAGCCCTTCATGCTAAAATCTTGCAATAAATTAGGTATTGATGGGATGTATCTCAAAATAATGAGAGCTATTTATGACAAACCCACAGCCAATATCATACTGAATGGGCAAAAACTGGAAGCATTCCCTTTGAAAACTGGCACAAGACAGGGATGCCC